TGATATTCTGCAGCTCTCAAAATACATTTATATATATTTATATAACATGAACATATAAAAGAAGAATCTGCAGTGCTCTTCAGAGCTCTGCCAAGGCGCGGAGCCCCACGCCGGGGCGGCACCTTATGTAATCGTGCACGTGACCCGAAGGGAAGACGCTCCGCCGCTTCTGCAGCGCTGCCCCATCTCCTGGCAGCTGCCCAGGAGCAGCCCGGAAAACCTCGAAACCGAAGCTGCCGTCTTCCCTGCCGGCTGTCGAAATCGACGGCGGCGAGTAAACAACATGGCCGCCGGGAGGACCGCTCACCCCCACCGCACATCTTCCTGGATCCACTGCTATACACATCACCCCCCCCCCCCCCCGATCTCTCAGCTGACATTTCTAAGCACTGTATTCTTCACCGCTGTCATTAATCCAGTGTCACGGCCATTTACAAAAAAAAAAGTGCCAAAAAAAGGGCACGGTCAACGGTAGCAAGTTTCATGTCAATATGTTGAAGAAAAAAAAAAGGGGGGGGGGGTGTAACAGTTTCACGATTTCACAGCACAGCGGAGCTGGGCCGCAGTCCATTGAATTTTAAGATTATGCAAAACAGTCAGACCTACTAGCAAACAACATGCACCAAATTACGCTAATGTGAGCGCTCCAGAAATGGTCAACATACCCTGGATTTGGCTAAAAGGATCAAACCTCCATTTTCAGATTTTTTTTTTTTGTGCACAAATTATTCAAACAATAATGGTCTAGACCTCTATTATTCAAATACCTGGGAGAACTGAAAACAAGGCCTGGATTTGGAATCGAGGTCCAGATTTGAAGAGCCCTGACATAGAGGTTCAATGGTAAATTATGCTATTTGACAGCGACTAGGCCTATACAAGTTCATTACCCCAGCAGTACAGCTTGTGGCAGAATCATTAAAATTTCAGTTTTATAAAAGTTTCAATGTTTGTAATAAATTATTACTTGTACGTCGCCATGGACAGCAGAAATAAGATAAACGTAAATGTAAATGACAATATTAACCGATAAAAGAAGGAGCAGTGTGACAATAGTGATACCTGAAGGAGCAGTGTGACAATAGTGATACCTGAAGGAGCAGTGTGACAATAGTGATACCTGAAGGAGCAGTGTGACAATAGTGATACCTGGATTTGACCAGCAGCAGAGATGAGCATCAATGATCAGGACACTTTTTGGATTCTGTTACTTTGCGACAAAACATCTGGACAGACCCAGTCATCATAGTGCACAATAGGGGCGGGAGGTGATTTTCCCATTAGGAAGAGCTTGCAGATCCTGGTGCTTTATGGTTCGTTAATTAAAATGCAGGTCGAACAAAGCATGAGCTTCAGTTCTGAGCCATCTCCAGCTTCATGGGGTTCCAGCCGCAGATGGGACGACCTTCCGCCGCGCAGTCATGTCTCCATGAGAGCCGCAAGCTCTCCGCAGCTGAAGCACTGCTGCTCGGTCCCAGCACGCCATGTCTCCTGGGAGCCAAGAGAGGTTACGCTGCCAGCCCCCGAAAAAGAAAGCTGGGCAACTGACTGGCAAAAGACAGGAACTTGGGATGTGTCTTATCTTGGGGGGGGAGACTAAAAGCTTGACCCTCACCGGCAGAAAAGTGTCGTGATGGTCTCACCGAGCGAGAGCCCATATGCAGAAGGAAGCTGGAGCAACATCTTCATCCCGTCCAGCTTTCCCAGGAAGGTCAGGAAGACTGGCTTCAGCTGTCCGCCGTGAGACTCATACGGCGAAAAAGGGACGGTGCGAACCCTCAGGTTCGGCCCAATGTGGTAAGTATTCAGACGCAGTGGAGAGTGTGCAGAGAATGACAGGCCCTGAACACATAGCGGCCCTCCCAAAGGCACCCTGAATTCTGGGGCAGGAGACCCCTTTGAGGTCCAAGAGTGTTGGACCACAGCGAATTTTTAAACCCAAAGACAGCAGATGGAACAGGAGCCTTCCTGTAAACTTTTTGATACGACGGCCGTTTCTGTAAACATTTTTAAAAATGCAAGCTCATTTATAGCTGATGGTGAAGCACGGAGAATAAGGCAAATGGTTTGTTCAGAAGTTGATCGCTAATGGGGGATGAGTGATGAGTGTAATCTGAAACAGAGCAGAATCTGTCCATTCCGAGCCTATAAAGCAGGACGGTGAGGAAGGCTCTTGTTATTCTCAGGCTGCCAGTGCACAGACGTGTCTGTATGTCAAGGAGAAAGATTTTACATACATATAAAATTACAGTCTGATATATTTTTAAAAATACTATGAGTAGATGCTATAGGGCATTTTATGACTGGTCAGACTGACCATAAACAATGTCCTCCGCAACCATCAGTAAATCAAGATTTTTAAACTTGACTTGTAAGTTTCACAGCCATTACATTTTTTATTAAATTCAAGCATACTCTAATTCTCCCCCACAGTACATACAGTACAGCTTCCACTGGCTGCCTCATGAACAATTCACGATAAATAATGTACAGCTTCCCTAGATTCTTGCCTTATATAAACCACTACAATGGTTCATTTAAATCTCAAGTGCATTCCCCTAGCTGTTAAATGCAAATTCAAAACATTAGAAAATCTCCCCTAATTGTTTTTTTTTTTAAGGCAGTGATGTCAAGCAGTTGGATGACGAAGATAATGCTCATATATCAAAGGATGCTATTTATTACTGGTTAATAAGCCACTCCATGTGTTTTTCTAAATCAAACAGACGGCTCAAAGGGAGTTGGTGGTCACCGATGACTTTCCCTTCCCTTGGTGTACCCCCCCCCCAACATCGATGGCACACTCCACAGGTTCACCAGAGAACAAAAAGGAGCTGTGTGATTGGCTAAAAATGGCGGTAGTAGTTTTGAGATAAAAAAAAAGTGAATCTTGAATAAAGGAGCAATCCTGAGGACATTCAGATTGTCGACTAGCAGACATTAGAATGCTTCCCCAAAGGGATTCCGGGATAATTCAACACGTTCACAAGCGCAACTGCCACAACTACACTGGGGTCAAAGAATGTCATTCGTCCATTACCAGCAATTAAACACCTCCCACAAGGGACAGGTATCACTCAGAATCCTCATTAACCCCTCTGACCAACCACCATCCCCGGTACTGTCAACACAGCGCTGCGGCAACCAATCGCGGCACTGGCCTTCCTTGTCGACGCCCACACAGCGATAGAATACTGAATGACAGTAGACATGCTGTCCATCTGAGTGTCCTGAAATACACCCTGTTCTTTGCTTGTGGAATTGGCCAGTCAGCAGGAAGACACTGGATTAATGACAAGATTTTTTCTTGAAAAAATCAAGAAAAAAGGAGCGGCATTCTAGGGGAGGGGTCAAACTGTGGCCGTGATCACCACAGAGATACTAATGCTAACCCTAATAATAATTAAAAAAAAACACAATGAGCATCTTAGAATACCTTGACACCTGCACCATAAAGCTACACTCTTTAAATAACAAAATAAAATGAAAGATGGGTTTTACGTGTCTATTTTTTCTGCATCTATATTGCTTTTGTTGGCTTTTTGATTTTTGTCAAAAATTCCTAATGAATAATTCTTTCTGTCTCATTATCAATCTATTCCCTGGAAACATTAATGTAAAGCTGAGAAGCTGTGACAAACATCAACCTTCAGAGTCCTGCGTCTCCTCAGAACCTCGGGATCTCAGTCTCGGAACCGCGGGCTCCGATCAGAACGTCCCCTTCATTTCCAAGACGGTTGGAATATTACAGGCAATCAGCAACCAAACACATACTGGCGTGAAAACACAGGCTGGTGTCGAAACGCGCTAACAGATCCCGGCACCCGGATGGGAAGGGAAACATGAGGAGAGACGGAGGGGAGCGGGAACGCAAGAGCGGGGGGGTGAGCTGGGGCCTCCCGGGGAGCAGATGAGGGCCAGACGCTCTGCCAAGACCTCCCGACCGGGGGGGAGAAGCGAGGGGTGCTGTGGCGCAGAGGAACAGTCTCGTGTGCTGCTGTCCGGCTCTTGCTTCCCAGATGCCCCTATGCACCTCTGAGCTGGGGCTCTCAGACTCCCATAAAATGGATAAGGTTTAATTACCCCCACCCAGAAACCCCCACCCCCAAACCGGGTGATCCACCATCCCACATAAAATATATCCGACAATGCTTTGGACCTCAGGCACGACATCCCACCCAACGGGGGGGGGGCTGGCCTCGACGGAACGGGAAATGTCAATATTAAACCGATAAAGCGCTGATCAAACGGGGCTGCTCAGACACAGCGAGCCTCCCGTACAGAGGCAAGAGCGAATGAAAACATTTCCAAAGCGGCAGGCACGATGACTAACTCGATATTTTTATTCCGTAATTATGTAACGAATCGGAAACACGAGTGCGAGGCACACAGGGAGTGGGGAAATTCACAATTTTTTCCCCAAAGTGTTTTTAACAGCAGCGTGTTTTTTTTTCTTGTTATCTAGAACATTATGTGAAGAGTTTCCAGTGCCAAGTCAGTGATTTTTAAATACATCTGTGTTTGGTGAGCAGGGTGGTCTCCTGCTAAACGCCCAGCCGGCATGTGTGGCAAGCATAGGCTATCCTCTTCCCCTCAGGGTCCCACACGCTTTCAGGGGGGGTCTCAGCTGACAGCAGACCTGCACCCCAAACCCCCGGGGTACAATCTGAATAATTGCTTTAGTGACAGGGCTGAGGGCTGCGATAAAATGGGAACACCGGAAGACCCCTGGACCGCATTCGCTCATGCACCCCCCATGCATTTCTGTGCAGGGACAAGAGGGGACATAATTCATATAGAGGGGTTAATCTTATCATTAGCCAATGAGATGTTTTGAATTGGTGATTGACAGAGGAGGGGGCACTTCAGGGGCCAATCAGCTTTTAGCCTCGCCCTAGCATTCGCCCCCTGCCTCCATGACAAACAACCCCTGGACCTTAATCCTGGTGAAGCCTCTGTGACCTCTTGGGCCGGACCCCACTGCATACTGGGGCGCTCACCACGATGTCCACCACCAGCCAGTGCCTCCAGTGGGACTTAGTGGGGTTGCAGCGGCTTGGCGTGTCCGGGTCCACCATCATCAGCGTGTACCTCTTCTCCTGCCAAGGTGAGAGACAGGGAATAGGTGCCGGTCACTCCTTCAGCAAAAGCCCATTTTCTGCAAATATTACTGACCGTCATGCAGCTACCGAGATCACATTTTAACCAGTAAATGTTTCACTGGAGACAGCATGAACTATCTGCATGCTTCTGGCAGTATCAGACATTTTCAGAAAATAATGTTCATTTCATGTTCCTCAACCTCTCTTTTTCATGCTCCCTTCTCCTTTTATTTGCCGGGTAGTTTTTCTTCCCCCAGTAAAGATTCCTTCACAGTCACCGGGGCTCCAGATAATAACTGGCCAGCTTAATTGCCTAAAATATTCCTTTCTGTCTGTCTCTTAAAGTTGTAGAATTATGGGAGCAGATTGAATTGTTGCGATGAGCACATTTGCCATCCCTGGTTCTCTGCCCGAAATCTGCCAGACCATATGATGGCTTTCTTATTTCGCACGCTTTCCAAAAACCCGAGCGGAGACGTCAATCACAGCTGCTGCGATCCAACAAGGTCTCCGTGTGGCTAGAAACCAGACACCTCCGATGAGCCGGGATCACAGTGGGCAGGGGGAAAAAAAAGAGGAAAAAAACTACTAAATATGGGCACCCAAAGTGCTGCAAACAACTGCTGATCATCAGTGCCATCTCCACAAATCTCAAAGATGGAGGCAACCAAAGACTACGGACATTCTGCCGGGTTCTCAATGACTAAACTGTCACTTCCTGTCAACGCTGACGCTGCCTTGACTTAGTTCAAACGGGTCACGACTCCTGAAGTGTGGCTCCTTGTGGAATCTAAATATTCTCGGTGACGCCATCATAGACATCTGATGCCATCTAACAGAACACGCGCCTGGGTGCGCCTAGCACTGTTCCCCAAAGGCCGATAGATTAAACAGGCCTTCCTGTCAATGGAAAGAGTATTTTTCTCCCCTTGCCAGCATACGGAATGCTCCAAGGTGACCCAGACGTCACCGATGACAAACACGTGCCCTATGGTTCGCCTACACGCTCTATAAGTTTGCCGGGTAAATAGGGGCGGCATGGATCCCGTTTCTGCTGCGATATTCATTTCCTTGGCGGAAGACTCAGCCTACCTGAAGTGCCGCAATAAGCCTAATAATTGGATCATACCAAAAGCTCCCCCCCGGAGCCTCCGAGTAACAATCAAAACACGCAAACGACAACTGCATCTGCCCACCCGCCTGTCAGAGCGAGGGGTGGGGAGGGGGCTGTCCCTCACTGACCCCCCCCGGGCAGCTTACACGCCAGACGTCAACCTGTCTGCTCGAGTTCCATCATCTACGCTTAGGCCTCGTCGGGAACAGAGGCGGGCTTCCGCGTTTACAGCGTGCCGGAGCCCCAAGGGCAGCCTCTGCGATGGGGAGCTGGGCTCGCACACGGGACTGGCGTCCCTAAATCATCCAAGCACCCACATGATACGACGCTACTTCCTTTTTAGCGGTTCTCATGGCTCTGATTACTTTTCGCATCTCACGTGCCACGTCGAAATGACCCCCTACATGCGCCCAAGGCCATTTTCCCTCCAGTTGCGACATCAGTGAACGTTCCGCAGAAGGACATTTCCGGATGAAGCTAAAAGTTGGGCCCAGCCATCTGCAGCCCCGCTCCTACATTTGAGAACATTATCGGCCTGCTTAAGCGAAACCTGCCAAAACTCGAGACAAAGAAGGGGAGGGGGCAAAAAGAGGAAAGGAAAAAAAAAACGATCCCGTGCGTGCCATTGTTGGGGTAGGTGTGAGCGAGCATGCAAGTGCGCATGAGGCAGAGACGGTACCTGCAAGGAGCTGCCTGGCCCAGCTGGCACCCCACAAATGGAGAAGAGGGGAGAGGCCCCCCCTCCTGATGCCATCGCTTCACACATTGTGGCATGGCTCTCTCTCGCTCTCCCCCCTCTCTCTCGCTCTTTGTTACTAGGCACCCTTTTTACTTCCATCTGTCAGGGTGCACATTAATTGCAGACGGATATGCAAGGGAAACCGGCTCCGCGGAGACGGTGGACGCATATTGATATCTGTCATAATTGTATTCCTGTCTCTCGTCAGAGCTGTTCATTTCGTCAACGTCCAGGAGATAGGCAGAGCCCATTATAAACATGTTTTCAAGGAACCAAAATTCAGAGGCTGCCCTCGGCCATCCTCATCGTTCACTTAACAGGGTCTACTATCTTAACAATTATGCACCGGTTATGGGGCAAGCGCCGATTGCGAGCTAATTCTCATTTCACATTAGTTTAAATGATAGATCCGGTAACGGATTCCAGTCCTCTAAAGTAGATTTAAAAGACCTTCAGTAAAATGGCAGCCACGATAGCAGCAAGCCCTAGGAAACGGATCTCATCCTTAGGAAAGCATGTCGGAGCACAGCCCGTGCCGTTGGCACAAAGCCTCAGACAGAGCCTCGTCTTTTGGTACAGCCATGACGTTGAGAAAATGCGTCTCTAAGTCGGATTCCCCGCGACAATCTGGTGACACCGCGATAATGGCTCTGGATGAACGTCTTCTGGGGTCGAATGAGAGGGGATGCCAAATGGTTGTACAATGAATCCACACTAGCCGCTGAAACGCTGTACGGGATGGATAAACTGCATACCCTCAGAATCAGAAGTAAAATGCTCCTCATCAGTGCCTGGAGCCTAGGGCTATAGAACACAGGCTAAATGCTAAATGCCTAAGCTAGTTGATAGCAGACAGGCTCATTACCAGTGCAGAATGGATAAATTATTATGTGAGGCTTTGAAACGGAATTGCCACCCGATATACTCGGATCCAATCCAGCCTGCTCCATGTGTGAAGTTTCTGGGCTGTGGTTTGTCTCTCTATTTCTCTCTCTCTCTCTCACACACACACACACACACACACACACACACATACACAGCTGCTACCTAACCAGTTTGTGAGGATTACAAACGACCACGCCAATCCATAACTTCAAACGTAGCTGACCCACCTCTTTGATGGAGACCCCCCCAGTCACATTGATTAAAAAGAGGTTAGAATGGGAGTGTCCATGGAAAGAGACTAGCCGCAGACTATAAGCGCCCCCCCCCCCCGGCGCATCAAGGCTGGATCACACTGTCCTGAGTAGCGCTACGTCCAGTCTGGTACTCACTCTGGTAAGGAGGAGTGGGCATCGGCAATAAGCTACTTCATTCTCACGCTCCCTGCTCACACTTGCTAGCTACGGACAGTAACTAACTAATGTCACTACACATGCAGCACCTCTCCCTAGCGACAGAGGGCAAAACAGCAAATCATGAGCAATATCACTCTTAGTTAAGACGAGAGTCATTCTTTACGACTGCATGTTTTATCAAGCAAACGTCCGTCGCGTTTCGTCGGGCTCAGAGTCGTAGGGCTGCGTTACGCTGCGAGTCCTGCCCATGTGACACGGTCCAGCTCCTTCAGGAGGTGCCAGGGGAGCGCTACCTATTCCTCCCTCGACAATAGCTCCTCCAGCCACCATGGCAGCCTAATGAATCGTCCAGGATGGGGGTCGAGTTGGGGGAGGGGGGGGGACATCAGCCCAGGATCACGCTGCTTAGATGGGGGCTATTAAACATGCCTGGGGCCCAGCCTGGAGGTGGAGACACCAAGACTGGAGCCTCTTGGGATCACCCTTCTCTGGCTGGGCAGAGCTAGGAGCCCGGTGCCCTGTGGGGAATTCCAGCTTGGCCCCAGTATAGTGTGGTGGGCCCTGCAGGGAGCCTGGGTACTTAAGCCACGGCTGCTCCTCGGCGTATTGGAGGCAGAGGGGGCAGGGAGTGTGGGGGGTGGGGGGGACGCTTAGGGCTAGGGCCGAGGATGATGAGCACTGGGAGAGAGGGGCTGTCCTGGGGGACATACTCTGGAGATCGGAACGGCAAGCGCGGTTTGAAGAGCACAGGAAGGCAGGGTTTGGGATCAGGAGAAAAACCGGCACAGCCCAAACTAAGCCTGCGGACAGCCCGCCCGCATGGAATGTCTCCAGCCTCACCTCGCGGTCAGCCCTCGCCTGCAGCCAACACTGCCACACACCGAGCTCCGAGCGCCTAGCAGATGGGGCGAAAGGGCTCAACCAAGAATGGACCTGCAACTCTCATTTGGGCTCGAGGTTAAAACTCCAAAATAAACAGCGGACGTGAGATACTTAGTGGCCGCTGGACACATGAGTCACAAGGGACAGATTTATAAACCGCCCCGTCGACCCCCATGGGATGTCCTGCGAAGCTGCACGCTCGGGGTCATTCCTGCAAGCGCGGCACATCGACGGCGGCCCCCCGACAGCGGCCAGCAGATCCTGACACCTCCTTTCCAGGTTGGAGGCCCAATTTAGCACGTTTCCATGCGTGCAGCGCTTGGAGGCGACGTCGTGGCCGGACGGCGGGGGCCACGGCCCACGTCAATGGGAGCCATAGTGTCGCGGTGGCCTCGTTATCTCGGTCTGGAGCTGGAGCGCCAGCTTGGCCCATCACTCAGCCCGGGAGTGAAGCGGATGCCGTCAGCAAGTGGCGGGCAGGCAGGCAGGATCGACGGCCCCGCGGTGGCCTGCAGGCTCTAATGAGCTCTAATGGTCAGGGATATCCCTGCGTAGCCAGCTGTCCAGGGGAGCGGACCGGTACCGGAGCGCTGCGCTGCGGCAGACGGGCCCCGTACCACAATAGACCGCTCAATTTGTTAGGTCAAGAAGCGAGCGACACCGCTTGGGGATACGCAGAGCCCACGCTCAGTAATTTGGGGAGGGCTCATTATGTCTCCTCATGATGACATGTGAGGGGCACACACACATCCGAAGGGCTGATTCACAAAAGGGTGATGTAGTCATGAAGATATATTAAAAAAATAATAATAAGAAATCGGGTGAGAGCTGGGGCAAATTCAACCGAGCGACCGAGCGAGCGAAAGATGCACCTCAGAAGCAATCAGGTGACAACCTGGAGAGATGTAAAAATACCGCCTTCCCCTGCTGCCAAACTTGGAATGTGATGTGGAGGTTCTGTTAT